AACATTAGATTCAAAGAATGAACAAGTCATCGAACAGAATTTTATATCTTGAGAAAGAATTCGAGGTTTTTTACCGAATATACTACCAGGACTTCTTTTTTTTTGAGAGTACTTGATGACCTATCGCCATTGTAATAGCTAGGAGGTTCGTTCAAGTGTCATTGGATAGAGGATGAAAAAATAGGAGGTTTATTAAGCGTAAAGTTTTTGATAGCTATATCAGGGGAGGCTGTATAAAGGTTTTCATTTTTTATTTTTTCGGATGAGTCATGCTAAAATCACGTGTCAGTAGGAAATTTTTTTTTTCTATTTTTGATAATATGATTTCTGCAATGTTCGAGGGTTTTTGTCGTATTTTAAACATATATGAATTGCGTGGTTGATGTTCAGAATTTGACACGTGATCCTTTCGGGGATTATCATCTAATGTATATGTATTTCCCTTTGGATTTGATGGCTGTAGAATTAGTCAGCGTTTAGTTGAGTTTTGAATTAGAATATTTTGCATCAGTTAATGCTCTGTGAGGTTATTTTTCATGTATGGCATGATTACCATGTATTTTTTTTAGTATCTATATTGGTTGATATGACGTAGAATAGGCGAGATTTGAAACTTCCAATGGTTGTGTCATGTAATGAAAGTTTTCTGTTACTTTTCAATTACTCATCTATCAGTGGCAGTTGATGTTTGAATAGATGATATATTAGAATAACTAATTTGTATCTCATTTAAATGATTGGAAAATTTTTCGAATTAGTTCGTTGAAAACCTTTAATTCTTTAGTTCAAGCAGCATTTCGATAGATATTGCATTTAATACTGATAAAGAATTTATTATGAAGAGAAAAGCTAGTACAAATTAATCTATGATATTATCGAGGATTGTAGTTCATCAATGGATATCTTTTATGTATTCATTATTTTTATTTAAATATGTTGAAAGTGATATTGATATTAGGAATCTTTTTCTTTTTATTGATGAGAACTCATATGGGTGTGTGTTAGTATGGTTTAATTAAATCTATATCTTTCCTTGTTTTTAGAACCTTTCAGAATAGATGAATATTCATTTTATAATACTACAAACTGATACGAGAACTATATTTGACTGGTCTTATTCTGAAAAATATACAAATAATGTAATATATATTAGTCAACACAATGGTAATTGATGATTAAGACAGTTTGTCGATATAGTTTCTATATCAAATGAGAGCATATGCTTTTACTCTTAAAAAATTAATGGAACAATTCATTGAGAAAATGGATCGATTCAAGGAAGAATATGGGATATAGATGAAAGCAACGTTAAATGAATAAATTTAGATCACAATGAAGCTAATCTTAGATTATATTCAAGATAGATCATCGAGTTACTATTCATTTAATTTAAGAACCTATTGTTTGACTATATATTGAGTACATTCGAAGTATTTTGATTATTATTCTAACGTATGTTCACCATTTTAAATGTCTATCGTCAATTTGCTTTGTTTCTATATGATTTTCAATGCAATAAGAAAGGGATCATTAAAATTGCATGTCTGAAATTATTGTTATTTATACTGTATCAGCTAGTTGATCATTACTTTATGGGAAGATGAAGCAAATAATTTATGATTAGATATAATTTGTAATATTGATAAGAGTGATATTGAAGTAAATTAATATTCTGTCGATAAGTATCAGAGAACTTTGAACTACTTTACAAGCAAATTTACTTTTCTATACTCATTTATACATTGATTAAGCAAAAAAGTAATTTTTGATAGAAAGCTCTAATATTATTCCATTAAGAAAGAAAAGTTAAATATAGGCCATTAAGAAATGTTAAAATTAAGACTGCCTAGAAGCAATCAACGAATAATTTCAAAGAATGGTCAATGGCATTTATTTTATGGTCGATTCATTCAAATCAAATCACATCCTCTATTACCTGCTACGAACTAGATATAGCTTAATGAGAAAATGAGTATAACTTCTAAGATCAATTGATAATTATTTTGAATTCTTTGATTTTACGAAGTAATCGAGATTAGATAATTATTTGTTAATATAATATTTAAGTTTGTTCTAATATATTGAAATTTTGTTTTTATTTTATTACGTTCAAATTTTAACTTCTTCAATTTTCTTTGAAATTTGGATGAGTTATTTCTTTATGTAATATTTATAGGCTATCAAAGATACCTGATGAGTCCCTTAAGAAAGGACGAAACGCGTCGTGTCGATCTTGATTTTCTTAAAAACTTAAATTTCTAATGAGTTATATTGAAGTGTATAGAAAAATATTTTCGCAGTCATGTTCATGCTGGTGATCATTTGATCATAAGCATCTGAAACTAACACTGAAAAGTGGAAGTATTAAGAAAAGAAATGAATTTATCAACATTTATATATGAGTTCTTTTATTCTATATAGATGTCAGATAAATTAATTTTTTTGATTTTGAATTTTGAATTTATTTTCATTTTTCAATAATCATTTAAATTATTTACCAACTGATGAGTCCCTTTAGCAAGGACGAAACGCGTCTTGGTAGCTCTACACACCCACACCCACACCCTCAGGCTCGTTACCTTTTAAAATTTCCAACACTATTGCGCCTGTGGATGATTTTTCTTTTCATAAATCGATTTTTCTTTATTTTTTGCTGTCGTTGCCGCTTTTTTTATACTTCAGAAACTTTTAAAAGCCTTGTGCAGCATAATTGCAACGATCGTCTATAAACTGAAAAAGAATCCACGTGATTTTTCTTTCCTATATAACGCTTCGTTTTGTGCATTTTCTACAGAGCTAGGAGAAGTAGAAGTACCACAAGTGAAAGTATTGTAATTTTACTTTTAACGATATACTTTGTACTTATATTTATTCTTTGAAAAAAATACGGCTTGTAAAAAATCAATCCAGGGATGGATTGAAAAGAAAACAGTACGTTTAGCATACTTTTACCAATACACCAGAAAAAACATTCTACGCCTGGATGTACGAAAATGAGCTTTCGTATGTTCAACGTAAGTTTTGAATACATTCTTGAAAATTTTCAAAGTCTCATTTGAATTCTATTTTTTGCTGTTTTATATGAACGTAATAAAAGAATTTTTCATCTTCGCACGTCCAAACAACAACACTGTCTCTGCTCAATGCATGATATGTGAAAAACATTACTTGGACAAGATTGGATCAACAGGGAACTTTCATAAGCACCTCAAACGGAAACATAATATTCAATATGAAAAATTCAGATATTCAAAAAGCATTACTGCATTGGAAAATGACGAGGATGACGACCTGGAAAATACCACGAATTATATGAAGAAAATCAATGAAGCTATTTTAGAACAGCTGATCATCAAATGTAACTTGCCACTCTCAATCATTGAGCATGTCAATTTTAGAAACTTTTTGAAAACATTAGCTCCGAAGTGGAAGTCAACATCTTCACGATATTTTACAAATAAGCTGTTACCATTGTTATTCGATAAGGCTCAAAATAAAATGAAATGTCTCCTGGACGATGTTACTCATTTAAGTATCACAGTAGATATTTGGACTGATCGACGGGCCAAATCGTTTCTTGGCTTAACAGGCCATTTTATAGATTCGAATTACATTCCACGAGCTTTCCTTTTGGATTTTTGCCGTCTAAAAGGATCACATACTGGAGACAATGTTCGGAATATGACGGAAAAAACACTAGAAGGACTACAGGTTAGTCAGAATATACATTTTTTAGGAGAATAATAAATAGAAACAGAAACGAATTAGTTGGATCATATGTGATAAGTCATTCTTCCTCTTTCCTGATCGTAGATAACACACAAAGTGTACAGAATCATTACGGACAATGCGGCGTCTATGATAAAAGCGTACAAATTTGGTTTAATAGTTAGTAGTTCTCATGACATTCTTATGAACCATGATAATGACGAAGAAGAACATTACGAATCAGTTGAATCTAGTGATGACGCTTCGGAATTTTTACGTCGTTGGACTCTAACCGATTGTCATGAAAACGAGCACGATTCGAATGATATTGATGGCAACATTGCAAGCAGATTATCCTGCTTTGCACATAGTCTTCAATTGACTGTGCGCGATGGAGTAGCAAATGTCCAGTGTTTATCTAAATGTTTACTCAAATGTATCAAGTTAGCCGAATGGTCTCACAAGTCCACGAAGATAGCTGATCTTCTTGATGATATTGGTAAATCGATAAGTCAACGTACGGTGACACGATGGAGTTCAGAATATCTTCTAATGAAATCAATACTTAGTCTTGAGAAGGTCAATGTCGATGATATAACGGAAATACTCGAAGACAATGAAGTGAAGTTTAATAATAATGATTTTATTGTATTGCAAGAGGCTGTTGAACTATTAGAACCATTTGCTGAAATTACTGTTCGTGTACAATCCCAATCAGTCGTAACTGCCAGTCTTGTCGTTCCGTCGGTGGTACATTTACTTGACCATGTGAATATGATGAAGACAAATTTGAGAATATTGAAACCAATGTGTATACAATTGGAGCAATCTATCTGTAGACGATTTGCTGGAATCGTTAAACGTTTACATCAACAGAGTGTTAATACAAATGATCGATTTTCGGACCATATCTATTTCGTTTGCACATTCCTAGATCCTGAATTCAAACTGTATTGGCTCAGTCAGATGAAGTACAGTCCAGCTTGTGAATCAAAGATGAAGGAATCTCTCATTCAAATGGTGTTAGATGAATGCGACTATGGACAAAATCGATCATCGAATAATCTTCCGGAGACATTATCATCATTTTCGTCAAGGTCTATTGATATGAATGATTCGGTGGTTCAGTCGACTAGAACTACAACTAATAAAAAACGTAAACTTTTCCAATATGATGATGACAGCAATGGTTGCAATGTATCACCTAATTCACTTAAAAGTCCCATGAATGAGATAAACGCGTATTTGAATGACCCTTTACGTTGCAACTTTTCTCTATATTGGAAAAATTCGCAGCTACACGCTTTAAAGAATGTAGTCAAACGTGTATACTCGATACAAGCAACCTCGGCGCCAATTGAACGAGTTTTTAGTCGAGCAGGCATCATCATGTCACCAAGACGAACATCAATGCGTGAAGAAGTATTTCGAAATTTGGTATTCTTGCGAATGAATGAAAGCTTGATTTAGCAATGAATTCAGTGACTCAATTGATAATCAAATGACTGTTTAGTTTTATGTTTCCATAGTTCGTTTTTACAAATTTGATGAAATTTTTATATGTCGCTCTTTATAATATGTTCTGTGGTAGAACGGTTACTAAAACATGTAGAGTAGTATTACGAAAGACGATCATGAAATTTATTTTAAAATTTAGATAAAAAAACTCACACTTGATCAATTAATAAGAATAATCCGAAAGAAAGAAAGGAAGAAAGACATCGAAATTCTTCAAATGTGATAATTAACTCCTAAATTAATAGCAAAGCTCAAGAACAAGATTTCTATTTCATTTTCAAAACTGAGGAAGAACATGCTCGAGTCTATTTTGTGAATAAATTCAAGGATTGAAAGTATATACCTCAAAGTACAAGTTCAAGTAGTACGTACAACTGTCAATACTCGTACTTGTACTTGATGAGAAGAAAAGTATGAAAAATGCAAGTAGAAAAACTTACGTCATATATCTGAAGATACTTGTTTTGTTCTTTATAAAAACAATTCTGATTGCGTAGTATGATTTTGTTTTTGAAGTTTTTTCTACAATTCACTGGAAAGCTGTTCGTGAGTATGACTATGAATTTTGATAATGAGTTTTCTATAGGAGTGTAATATAGCAGACATTGTTCAGATATAAGAATCTGTATGTTGGGATGGAAGCATTTTTGTGCTGATGTTTGTGATAATTTCAGGAGAAAGCGTTTGTATTCACAGATCTGTTGTCGTCCAGATTGCAATGCATAGCTTCGCTAGTGGTTTTCGCTAAGGTTTTCTCTTTACCTCGATGAACTGAGTCTTCCATCATTAATAGTAGGGCATAGAAATAATGATCTTATCCAAATAAATAGAATCGCTAATCATTGCCGAATAATTTGTTCGAGAAGTATCGAGACATTGAATTGAATGGAGGAAAGTTTAAGGATGGTTACGTGGGTTTCAGCAGTCAGATCCGATCAAACTTCAATCGTATGATCGCCTGCTATCGTGGTGTCTATTCGAATGTCCTCTATAAATATGACTCTGTTTTAGTAAATGTTATTTTGAGGATGAGTATTATTCTATTAGTTGCAGGTAATCAGTGAGGACATTGATAATATTCCACTACTATTATCAACGACTGACTTCGTAACTTAGGAGAGTCAATCATATAGTAGCTTCTTTAATTTGTCTTCCAAGACGATACTAAAACAGCATTTGAAATGCAATAAAAGAACTAAGAACTAACTCTTTTTAGACGTGAACCCTCAACAGTTTCATGGGCAATACTGGATCAGACGAGTTGAATAGGTAAGAATATAAAGCACGTAGAATACAATCTTATTGCTAAGGTATCGTTGAACACTCTGTAGATACTCCTAAAAAATAGACCTCTGCTTGAGATAGGGGTGGCATTTTAACTTTAAATTGACCGTAAAATGCAGAGCTTAAAGTTGTTTTGAAGTCACGCTTAAATGCTTCTTTTATGCATCTTATATATTGCAGATACTCACAAAAAGCATGACTAAATACATCAGTTTAGTAAAAAGTATTACAAAGAAGCGTTAAAAAGCGACTTTAAACAACATTAAACTTTAAACGTTACAGTTAAAGTAAAGTTAAAGTGTCACTCCTAGTTTGAGAAAGAAAATGTTATAGATTCTGCTATGTTTATGTTTAATATGTTTTCAAGCGATCCTTCATATAAGTCGGACAAATATTCGAATTTTCCTACCGAAGAAAAAAGTCCACAGACGCCTAGTAAAACTCCATTAGGTCCCTCCACTATCTATTTTGGCACGATAACTCACATAGCTGAATGTATATTAATTTATCTTAGTTGCAACGAAACGATTCACTTCTTTCGTAAACTAATTTCAGAAAGAATTGTACTCCGCTAACATATGACATCACCAGTTTATTACTATTACTGTCACAATGAAAACGTCACACAATTTCACCCAGACGTACGCTTTCTCATTTAATACGTTCACAGTACAATGTAGCATAATCATAAGCACCCAGGTCAACACCAACGGCGCCGTAAACGGTTTTAAACATCCCCTTAATGGTGAAAAACGTTGTAAAACGGTGCCGTTATCCGTCATACAAGATTACAGAGTTAAAAAGTATGCAAAAACCATGGTCGTTTTCTATAGTAAAAGGATGATCCGTAATACACCATTTTATAACCGTTTCAGGCGGCTGGAGCCACTCTCCTGAGCAACAGTCACTTTTCTTTCTTAACTTTATGCAAATGAACTTGCCTGTCTAAAGGACGCTGATAGTTTTAATCGATAGATGTAGTCTCCGAGTATTTCTCCATGGTTCTTATGGTTGCTAATGACTCATCCGTACGCATCATTTTTGTTGTCAGCAGTTAGGTATACTTTTACTTATTCTCTATATGAGTGTGTGCTTCTTTTGTGTATTAATATGAACGCTACATTTTCCTTCTCCATTCTGTTTAAGTTTGTTTGTTTGTGACAAGAGTTTTTTTCATTAAATCTAGATTTCATCTCACATGTTGCATAAAAGTGTACTATACAGCTATCGTCTTTCGATAATCTTTAATCACCTCACGATTGGTAGTTAAACATCTATCAATGAATTTATTTTCAAGTTTTTGTTGTTCAGTCGCTTAGTCGAGTCCGACTCTTCGTGACCTGATAGACGATATTACCCCAGGCTTGCCCGTCAGTGACCATTTCCTTCAGTTCTTGTAAGTTTGTTTCCATGACATCAGTTATGGTGTCAAGCCACCTTATCTTCTGTCGACCTCTTTTTCGATTGCCTTCGATTTTCCCAAGCATCAGGGTCTTTTCTAGCGGGTCCTGTCTTCGCATTATGTGAGCGAAATATGTAGCTTTTGCTTCATTATTAATGCCTCCAGTGAGAAATCCGGCTTCACCTCATTTAGTATTGACCGATTTGTTCTTCTTGCGGTCCATGGTGTTCTTAGTAGTTTCATCCAACACTACAATTCAAATGTGTCAATTTTTCTTCTATCCACTTTTTTGATAGTCCAACTGTCGCTACCATACGTTACGACTGGAAAAACCATTGCATTGAAAATCCGTACTTTAGTTGATAGTGTAATGTCTCTACATTTTAGTATTTTTTCCAGACTCATCATGGCTTTTCTTCCAAGAAGTAAACGTCTTTTTATTTCATGACTGCAATCACCATCTCTGTGGATTTTTGAGTCTAGGAATATGAAGTTCGGTACTACTTCAATTTCTTCTCCATCAATCTGTATCCTATTAACCGTACCAGTTAACATGATTTTTTTCGTTTTGATATTAAGCAACAAGCCAGCTTTTGCACTTTCTTCTTTCACCTTCATCAGGAGAGTCTTTAGATCATCTTCATTTTCTGCAATTAAAGTGGTATCATCAACATATCTGAGGTTATTAATGTTTCTTCCGGAAAGTTTGATTCCCGCTTCGGTTTCACCCAATTCCGCATTTCGCATGATATATTCTGCGTATAGATTAAATAGGCAAGGTGAGAGTATGCAGCCTTGGCGTACTCCTTTCTCGTTTTTGAACCATTCGGTCAAACCATATTCGGTTTTTACAGTTGCCTCCTGATCGGTGTATAAATTCTGCCGAAGGCAGATGAGATGTTTTGGAACACCCATGTCGTTAAGAACTGTCCATAGTTTGTTGTGATCTACACAATCGAAAGCTTTTGTGTAGTCTATAAAGCAAGTATATATATATCTTTTTGAAGCTCTCTTGCCTTTTCCATTATCCACCGAATGTTGGCGATATGCTCTCGGGTGCATCTGCCGCTTCTAAACCTGGCCTGTACATCTGGAAGTTCTCGTGTCATATATTGTTCCAATCGGGCTTGCAAAATCTTGAGCATCATCTTACTAGCGTGTGAGATGAGTGCAATCGTTCGATAGTTGGAACATTCTTTAGCACGTCCTTTTTTTTGGTATTGTAATATAAATTGATCTTTTCCAATCTTTTGACAATTGCTGTGTTTTCCATATCTGCTGGCATATCGGGAGCAAGATTTTTACGGCATCATCTCCCAAGATTTTAAATAATTCGCCTGATATTTCATCAATACCTGAAGCGTTATTATTCGCAATGCATTCTAAAGCCCACTTGATTTCGCTTTCCGAAATGTCCGGTTCTAGTTCGATAGTTGAACCGTCATTTTCATCTATACTTTGAGTATCTTTTTTGTAAAGTTCTTCGGTGTATTCGCGTCACCGCTTCTTGATGTCCTCCTTCTCCATCAGATCTCTGCCTAGTTTATCTTTTATTGTGCCAATTTTTGCATGAAATGTTCTCTTGATTTCATCAATTTGTTTTAAAAAGGTGTCTTGTCTTTCCTTTTTGATTGTTGTCTTCGATTTGTTGGCATTGACCATTTATATGTTTTTCTTTGTCTCTTCTTGCCCTCCATTGGAATTCGGCATTCAGTCGAGAAAACCTTTCCTTATCTCCATTGCCTTTTGCATTCCGTCTTTCTTCGGCTATTTTCAGTGTGTCAGCCGTCAGCCACTTCGCTTTCTTTGGTGTTTTGTTGTTTGGTATGTTTTTATTTGCCTCATCCATGATGATGTCCCGAATTTCAGACCAGAGTTCTTCTGACTCTCTGTCAATCAAATCTAGCCCGTCAAATCTGTTCTTAACCTCCACTGCGTATTTACGCGGAATGTTGCTAAGATTATACCGTGCTGGTCTAGCTGTTTCACTTGTTGTCTTTAGTTTCATTTGAAACTTAGCAATAAGCAGTTCATGAACTGAGCCGCAGTCAGCACCAGGTCTTGTTTTAGCTAGTTAGATGGAGCTACTCCATCTTTGACTACAAAGTATGTAATTGATTTGATTTTTGTATTGTCCGTTCGGGGACGTCCATGTGTAGAGTCGTCTTTTAGGCTGTTGAAAGCACGTATTTGTTATAAACAAGGAATTGTTCTAACAGAATTCCAATAGCCTGTCTCCTGCTTCATTTCGATCTCCTAGTCCAAAATTTCTAGTTATACCAGTTATTGGTTTACTTTCTACTTTGGTGTTCCAATCGCCCATGATGACAATGGTATCATTTTTGGTGTTGCATCAACGAGTTTCTGCAAACTGACATAAAAGTCTTCTATTTCTTCATCATTTGCACCTGTAGTAGGTCCATAGACTTGAATCACTATGACATTAATCGGTTTGCCTAATAATCGAATTGATATTATCCTGTCATTTTTGGAGTTGTATCCAATCACGGAGTTAGACAACCTTTTATTAATGATTATGGCTACACCGTTTTTTCTGTGATTTTCCTGTCCACAATAGAATATGCGGTAGTCATCTGATATGAAATGACCCATTCCTGTCCATTTCAATTCACTAATTCCGAGAATGTCGATGTTTATTCTTGACATCTCTCCTTTGACAACGTTAAGTTTACCTTGGTTCTTCGTTCTGACGTTCCAAGTTCCAATTGTATGCGGATTTTTACAGCATCGAACTTCCCTTTTGACACTAGATGCGTCAGTGGCTGGACGTCCTTTCGGCTTTGTTCCAGCCACATCATAAATAATTCTAGTGCTACTCGTACTTGTTCTTTGCTCTTCCCCAGTAGCTGGTCGAGTACTTTCCGACCTGAGGGTCTCATCCTCCAGTACTATGTTGAGATTATCCTGGTTGTAATTGTCCATTTGGTTTTCTTGGCATGATACTGGAGTGGGTTGCCATTTCCTTCTCCAGTGGATCGTATTTAGTCTGATCTCTCGGTTGTGTCCTGTCTGTCACGGGTGACCCTGCCGGGAGTGAGCACTCCCCATGGTTTAGTTCCCAACGTCATCGAGATACGCAAGCCCTTTCACTACGACAAGGTCACGATCCGCGAAGGAGATTTTCAAGTTTATATATATTTAAAAGAGTCGTAGTTTAGTTGTAACTTAAAACGTGGGTGCCAAAAGAAAGCAATCAATGTCGATCGAGCATAGGGAAAAAGTAATATTACGAAATTGAGAGAAAATGATGATGCCAGTAACGTGGATGCAATTTTGGAAAAAAAAACTTTAATCAATCAGGTTCTTTCCTCAAATATTTATCGATACCTTAACAATGAATTTTTCTAACAAACCCCGCTTCGAACACTTATACTAATTGCTAATGAAATTCATGCCAACGAACCGGTGGCTAATGCAAAGATTTGCTTTACAAAACTATTTGAATTTCTTCGCCTAATAATGCTGTATATTCTAGCTATGGTCACAAATCATTCACATAAGCTAAATCTCAACGTTTCACATTTGAAGCATCATTTACCTTGTTGCATTTTTTAGATTTAAAAGGCCCTTGCCCAGAAAGTGCACAATTCTATCAAACTATATTGTGGTCGCAACATTGAAAAAAAAAGACGCGCGCCGTAATTTTACCGATATATTATTGAAAGGACCACAGATATAGTATAACGTTGAACATATTGACATAGTATATGTTTTATTTTTGGAAGTTTTAAAGTATACTTGACATCAAATGGTGTCACATAACCAAGATTTCGGAGATGACGACGCACATTCGACAGAAGGCATGACACTCGCGTTTCGGAGATATCGTCATTGACCGTTGCATATATATATATATATATATATATATACAGTGTGGTGCATAATTATAAGACCACTTGTTCTCAAATTAAACTAAGTGAAATGAGCCATATTTTTAGTGATTTCACATAGATGAGACATAAGAATAACGCTATAAAATTTTCAAGCGGAAGTCTTTTTATTTTCCTATATATCTAGAATTACCTCCATTTTGATGGTGCATAAATATAAGANCACTGATGATTCACTTAGTATTAAAAACCAATCATGTGGTCTTATATTTATGCACCACCAAAATGGAGGTAATTCTAGATATATAGGAAAATAAAAAGACTCCCGCTTGAAAATTTTATAGTGCTATTCTTATGAATCATCTATGTGAAATCACTAAAAATATGGCTCATTTCACTTAGTTTAATTTGAGAACAAGTGGTCTTATAATTATGCACCGCACTGTATATAGCGGCATCACTGAAACGCTGAATGTGTAACATCATTGACGATGAATAAATCTATGAAGGAAAAAAGTAGGATTCTCAGAATTATATTGCTGTTTTAGACCAAACGGTGAATCGCCAATGGCTACTGTTGCGCTGTACAATGCTAATACTGATGTTAAAGGGGTAGAGAATTGGAAATATACCACAACCAACAACACCAAGGTGTTAAAAACACGAGAGGAAGCTAAAACTTACATGAGTAACATGTGTAAAATTTGGAAACTCGCTTCGTTTCGTGATGGTGCTAAATTTAATACAGAAAACATCAAAGCAATAGACAATCTACATGATAGCATAACAAACAGCTTCGAATTTACCGATGATAAAGGAGATGCTTGTTGCATCTTAGTTTTAATCCAGCTTGGAATCGATGGAAAATCAATACAAATCTCGAACACTAATCATAAATTAACACGAAAAGCTGTGCACACGAGGCAGGCAGATGTGCATGCAGCCGATGAACGATCTGCTTTACAATGGTTAAAGGAGCGAGCGTATGAAGAAATACACCAGCGGTTACCTGAGGTTGATAATAATATGCCAGTAGATGATTGCATGGTCGAAAGGAAGCCTAATCGCGTAGATTTTCAAGAAACTCGGGTGCCAAATGAAGATGTCATGACAATAATGGGCGTTATAAAATCATCACCAACACTGGCCAACGAGCGTTACTGTGTTTTACAGAAAAATGTGACAAGAAGTGGGCTCGCGCTACATGACTTAAAAGATATTGCCGAATTTTGCAAACACACGAACGATAGAGAAGATGCATTGGAACAAATACGACAACGTATAATGTCTGCTAAATTTGCCATGGAAATCGTTGCTTGGGTTTCCTATCAAGGTGGTGCATCCTATTCAATAACAATAGTTGCTATACCACAGGACGATCTGGTTCATGTGTGTAGCAACGGTATTCATGTTCGATTAACACCTATGCGAAAGTAACCATCGGAAGTTGCTCCGGAAAATAAAACGATACTCATTGATAAAATACTTCTTCAATATTCCTATTAAATGTTCGAACCGAAGTAAGAAGTAAATAAAAGTAACACTTGCAAAATACTTCATTGTACTCAATGTAATGATTTCCATGAAAGGTTTTCCCATTTTTGACGCTCGCCACAGTTACATATAACATAATATAAACATTCTTTATAAAACTGTCTTGTGTGAATTCTTTCAGATGAGTGACACGAAGAAACCAGGAAAGCCAATAACATTCGTAGAAGATACTTTAAACGATGACAACATTGAAGAACTGATGAAAAATATACTATCGTTACCTGAGCTGTCGGACGAGCGCAACCATATTATGAACAGAAAGGTACATAGTAGAGAGTTCTTACGTCGTATCAGAGAAATCAATGAATTTTGCAAGCATGCTGCTAATCCAGAAGAAGCATTACAACAAATAAAAGATTATATACTACACGATGGAAGTGCGAGAGAAATCACCGCTACATTAGTATTTAACGATGGACCAAGCTCTACGTTAACAATGATTCTTATACCGGAAAACTACCTCTTACATGTGTACATCACCACACTTCGCGTCAATCTATCTTCACACATGAAGTGACTCAGTATAGTAACTTATCCGAAAGCATTCTTTCGTCTTTGAAGACATTCAAAGTCGTTTGGTTATATTAATATACCAACCGGTAATGTGAATATTTTTTCTAAATTCATTCCTTTTATTCCTACAATAGATGCTTTAAAATTTTTTTTTTCAGTAGCTCGCAATCTTAACATTTGAAGGGAAGACATTTTAAAATAAATATCGTTTCATTTAGTTCTAGATGAGTGACGTACAACTACGTGTGAAGCGTGTGAATATAAAGAAAGTAGAAGAACATTTCGCAAAAAGGTCACTCCAGAAAAGTCATAGCAGTGTAAATGCTGCAAAAGTTTTACTGTGTGTTGCGGACGGTGACAAATATATAAGAGCATTACCGAGAGTACTGAAGATAACCGAAATTGAAGGCGTCGATGAATTCATTGAGACGCTTTGCTTAAATATTCAATTCAGTGGAGCCGGTGCGTCGGAATTCAAACAAATCGAGTTTAAAGCATTTGGAAAAGAAGGAACTGCGACATATCTCCTCGTATCAACAAACACTGCGTCCGATGGTAAGGTAACTGTGTGTTATTCTTATCATTTCTTAAAGGAGATGATATTGGAAGAGGAACACAGAGTATATACACAGTATGCAGCTGATATTTTCCTTGATTGGCTACGAGCGAAATCGTGTGAAAGCTTACAAGCCATGTTGCCGAAAAATGTGGCACCGGAACTGATATACGAATAAAAGGTGTCTGTGTTCCATTGTGAAAACGCCTATTTTTTAAAAATTTTTGATTGACGTTTGTACGAATTTTTAACATGTACAAATAGAAGCACTTTCGTTTATTACCCAAGGTTGGACCTATTCAAAGAAATAAATGTATAGTCTGGATTCACAGCGTTGCCCGACGCGTTTTGAGTGTCGCTGAAGTTGTTGTCATCAGGTATACCCAGGTCCACTAATCCGACAACGAATTCGATAGAAACCTAATTAAATCTTATCATCCGATACAGTCCTATGGGATTCTGGGTTGAGGAATTGTTGTTAGATGCACTAAAAAAGTTCTGTATCCTGGAAAAAGAATAACAGTTCGCAAACCCTCTCGGAAACGTTTTTGGTTTCCGAAAGGGTTTTCGGAATACTAAAATATTTCCAACAGCACCTAAATTGTTTCTGAGGTGTCGGAAACCTCTTGGTTTTCGAGAGTACCGAATTCAATGCGCGTAAGGTATCCTCGAGTACCTTTTCATCATCCTCGAGTATCTGAGTACTGTGCTCGGAAGCTCACACGATATTCTAGGAAACCTATCCCTTGAAACATATACTTGAGTATTCGAAAAGGTATCAGAGGATGCCGTGTTGGTTTCTGACAGACATAATAAGAAATCGAATCGGTTCCCAAATGAGTGGAAACCCTAAGTGGTATTCGAGAATACTTTTTTCGATTTTCCAGTTCTTTTTTCGATTTTCCAGTTCTTTTTTCGGAAACCTAAATGGTTTCCATCGTCTCCGAATTCGAAAAATTACGGACCAAAATCAGGATCACTTTTCAAGATGCCACTTAAATACATAACGGTTTTTAGGGCTTGGAGATCTTCAAAGGAGCTTCATGAAAAATGTTCCCGTGTATAATTTTTTTTCTAAACGTAAAACTCATGCTTCAAATTGATGTTTGACTTAATTTTTCTTACTTTAGAAATTATAGGGGAACTGAAAACTCTTAGAATTTGCATACAACATGTTTGATTGTACATCTACAAGCGAGACCTTTAATTATTAATTTTAATCTCAAACGTTTTTAATCTGCAAGTAATTTTCCAAACTATAAAGCAATATACTTTAATTTACGTATAAACATATTGAGAAAATTCAAAATTTACTCTTAAGTTGAATTTCTCACATTATACAGCTTTGCGGATTTCGATTGTTGAAGAAAACTGAACGCGATAGTTTCTTATTTATTTCTCAAGCCTTCCATATAACAAATTCACTTGTAGCAACCTATTTTTTGTTATGACGAACAAGTTTTAACTGCTTCCAAGATATTTCAATGAGTTTTGATTTATATATAATAATAGTATTTGAAGATACCTTATAACGGTATAATGATCTGATTCCGCGATTGTCACCCAACAAAGAAACCCATTTAGTATTTCAACACTTCCTATTGGATGCCTTTTGACCATAGGCTATCCTATACCTTTTAATCCATTTCATCATTGCGTAGCTTCATCAATGGTTTCCTTTATGTTGCTACGTTGTTTCTAACATTCCCCGTCCAATTCTATGAATTTTAGCATTTTACAGTATTTTTCTAGCATTTTAGGGACCCATATCTGAGAAAAATGCCTTAATCTATATTGCAAATAAGAGTGGCCAACGATTATCTGATAGCAGAAGAAGTTTCACCACCGAAAAGTGTTGCGTTTCAATCGAAAAATAGCGAAAAACTAGCCGAAACTGGAATTTGGTCAATTTTTGCGGTCATTCTACGGACTCTAGGCCATGCCTGTCATTGAATATTGGACTCGTTCGGTGTTCGTATGATAGCTGGAGGTGTCTCAATGTTATAATAGTGCAAGTTCTGTTGTCCAATGTTCCCCTGCGATTAACCGGGCCTCGTACCATGAGAACCCTCAATTTTAGCAATAATAGGGCCTTGATTCATAGCATCCTAGGGAGGTATAGCAAAGTGCTAGCACGCTCAGGACTACTTCGGAATATAGCTGACACCTTGTGGCATCATACCTGACACAGAAAACCAGATGTCAAAAAAATGGATTTCTGGAGAACTACCCTGAAAACTTGATTTTCGTTTTTCTACAGCAAAAATGCATGGAATTGGTCATAACTCGAGAACGAAGCGATATCGATATTCTAAGACCGGGGTTAGGATTGTAG